GGAGGCAGTAAAGAATTACTGATAATTTCGGGGCCTGTTACTAAATAAATATGCAAACTAGATACCTGAACGTGTCAAAATTAGTGGGTTCTAATGTGTTTAGGTAAAAGAGGTCCGAGGGCAAGATATATGCCCTTTCGGCCATTCTGCAGCGGTTGTAGAAGGCTTGGGGGACAGCATTAAATGCTCGCTGCTGAAGATACTACTGAAAGCGACAAAAGTAGGCACTCACAGTCTTGCTCGCAGGTGACGAGGCCAGTCAAGAAGAGGCAGAGGAAGGCTAGAGCCAACCGGGCGCCGAGTGCTGACCGGTTGCTGGTGCCGCCGCTGGCCGAAGTCGTCATGGCCAGGTCAGACGGTGAGTTTCTTGGGGTTTGTGGGGTTGGTGTGGTTGGTGTGGTTGGTGGAAAAAAGGGTGTACAAGCAGGCCGGCGGTTCGGTGCGACGTTCTGTCGCGTCGACTTCCAGCCGCGGACCGCAGAATCGGGCAGAATTCCACCGTTCAAGACGTCGTTGAGGTCAGAGTTGGTGTCCAAGTGTGAGGACTGCCGGAGCAGTCACATGCCCGCGCGGACAGACACAAGCACAAATCGAGTGGGGATGGGGTGGGGGCACTTTGGGCAGTTGAGATCTGTACGATGATCCTGGAAGGAGGTCGAGCAGACGACGGGCGGGCTGGCTGGCTGGCTGGCCGAGAAGGAAGACGCAGATCTGACTGCTCACAGGCACATGTACCAATTCCTGAATGGACCGATTGTACACACACTCGCGAACAGTTGTCGGTGTCTGTACCTCTTGGATGGGTCAGCTGGGGCCGGACCAGAGGTCGACATGATACAGACCAGTCGAGGTGTAGGCAAGGCGATCCGGCTGTCGCGCCTCACGTCTACACATCGCCACTCGGACAGCATGGGGGAAGTGTAAGCTGTATGTGTGTGTGTTTGTGTGTGTTTGTGTGTGTGAGGGTGTGAGCATTTGGTGAGGGTGGGCGACATTAAATGGTCAGAATGCCAGACATCGTGTGAATGTGAAGCCATGGCTGAATTGCACGGAATGCAGCCGGGGGGGTGTGATGGCCAGGAAGGATAGATAGACGTAAAGATGAGCCAAGAGCAGAGGATCGCCAGGTGGGTATGGTCGGCTGGTGATGGGTGATAGGCCTGTGTGAATCGGTATGGCCGAGTCAGGCATACCGACAGAAGTAGATAGGCATTTATTTGCAAATTTGTATGTATCCACGTAGTGCTGGATTGTGCAGTACCAGCGATGGCAAGAGGCTGGCTTATTGATACAGACACACCTACAGACAGGGGTATAGACGAAGAGACAGACGGATGGAGGGAGAGAGGGAATGAGATCGGGCCAAAGTGCTCTTTGCGATCAGATAACGCGAATGTGAACAAATTTATTTCTTCGGCCATCTCATTGGTTCTTTCTGGTATGAAATTTTTCTGGGCCCTTGTGGACATCGGGAAGGTAGTGGGCCAAACAAGCCGTCGTGTGTCACCTGGTCCAGTCAGGAGGCGAGCTGATTGCGCAGGGGTGTGAACCAATGTCGTAATCGCCTGGCAAAGAGAGGACAACCGAGGGGACAGCCAAACGAGACGAAGCAGATATTGCCGGGTTTGTCTTTGCAGTGTGTAGATGGTGGTCTCGAGAGGTGTGCAAGTGGTAGAGAAATTGATGAGTGTAATTGACAACAGCAAACTTCCATCTCAATTGTCGAATAAAGTGAAAAGTAAACGAATAACTGTATAAAACTGATAGCAGGCCACAGCTAAGATACTGATTGAAAAGCAAAGGTACATTCCGAAAGGTCACAATGGTCCTCAAGGCCGGAATAAAAATGCTATCATTAAACAAGATGTAAATATAAAAAGAAAAAAGAACTAAAAATAACAATACCAATTAATGATGAGCTTGCTGTTGCTGCGGCATTTTAAACGTTAGTTTTACGACTGAGTAAATGGATTAGTGGGTGGGTGGATTAAAAGGTGAGTGGGTTGAGAGAACGAATGATTCATTCAGTGGATGGATGGACGAGTATGGGGATGGAAAGTGGACAAGTGGGTTTAAGGGTAGCTGGCTGAGTGGATGAAGCGAGGAATAGACGGACTGAGGGATGGATATATGCGTGGGTGGAAAGGTGGTTGGCTGACCAGTTGAAAGATTGGTTGGGCAAGTGTGAAAGGATGGATGAATGCATTGGTGTGAGGATAAAGTGTGGAGAGCTGCTGTGGAATCAGTCGGTGGAGGGATGAACGAATGTGTGAATGGGACGGTGGTGGGATTTATAGTTTAGTGATTCAAGTATTCGATATCTAAAGTGACTTGTTCACTTGTCTGAGAGTTGGATAAAGACGTGTTGATAGGCGAATTGGTGAATATTTCTGACTGGACGGTCGGAGAGGAGGCTATTGGTGAGGAGGATCACGATGGAAGCAAGGGTTTGAGATAGAAATCGTCTTGGTAGGCAATGCCAAAATTGAATTTTCACAAACTTGAAATTAGTCCTTTGGTCTGGCGCAAAAGTAGAACCCGCAGATCCAGTCCAGCACGCTTCCCAAATTGACTTGGTACCGCAATCGTGCCCCAACGACTCTGACAACGCCTCCTCCCGACGGTACGTAAGCCGGTGAATCGGCCATTTTTCGGCTCGTCCACGGTAGGCCCGGAGACCTCTTCGCGCAGCTCCACAGTTTCCGCTCCAAGACCGAGCCACGGAGCGTTCAATTCGGGCATTTGTTCCAGCTCACTTTTCCTGTGAACGGACAAAGGGCCACTGGAAGACCCGCATTTATTCCATATTCCCTATTCTGACGCTTCGTCTTAATTCGCCTCAAACGTGTGCCAGCCTCGTCCTGACAGCGTTGGCCTTGTTCAATCGGCCGGTTCCGCCGGAGATCCTCGATTCAATTCGAGCCCGTTCGCAGACTCGTCTGAAGGCTCTGGATTCGACGGTCGTTGTAGACACCGAGTGGACTCGAGCCAGGCTCGAAAGAGATCCGCGCACTGACGAAAGCGAAACTCATTTTGCATTCAGCCTCTGATCCCCACAGTTCTGGTTCGCTTTCGCGAGTCCACATGAGACAACCAGTCGCCAAGTGCGAGCATAGTTTGCTCTTCACTCAAGTCGTTTGCACCACCGCCTGGATTTGGCATCATCTGCGAGAACAAGTGGCTTGGCAACACCGGCTCGAATGTGCCGAAGCCCTCCTGCCGCGTGGCCGGCGTCTTCCTGAGCCTTGCTTAAGGGTCACCACAACCAATCCCCAGTCTTGCTCGGCAATGACCAGTTGCCCAAACCTCTGCCCTCGGGTCCACCAGCAGAAACATCACATGTCGGCCCGACGCTGCGGTTGCGAGATCGCTTCGTCGTGGGAGCGCGGAATCTGCAGAAACAATACCGAAGTACCACGAAACTTTTCGTATATAAGCAGAGTTTCGAGGCTACCAGTAAATCAGTAATATGCGATGTTTTAATCTTATTTCGTGTAAGCAGATGAAGGAGAGGTAGAAGAAGAATTTTCACACAATGTTATGAGTAGAGCTGACGCTTCCATTCAATTTCACATAGCGTTGCCTCCCCAAAAGTTGTTCTCATCCAGACACCAGTGGACTGCAGTTTCGACTTTGCATAGGCCTCAACAGTCCACTCTGGAAGAGAACAACTTTTGAGAAAGCAAAGCTGTGTGAAATTAAATGGAAATGTCCTCTTTACTCATATGATTGTGGGAAAATTCTACTACCAGTCCTTCATCATCTTAAACAAAATGGACAGAAAAGTCTCAAATCGAGAATAAACAATGAACTCTGCTTCTTAGGAGTGATTAAACATTGTAAAATGCGCCGGTAAATCGTTCTCCTCTTTGCAAAAATAGAAAAAAAATGATGGAATAGACCTTGAATATGAACTGCTTTCAATACAGATCGAGTAAAGTGATGAAGCACCGAGAGCTGATTCTCCCCACAACGATGGGGCAGGCTTCAGGAAGTCATTGAATTTCGCCTAGCCCTGCTTCCCAACAGGTATTTTCATCGCGAGTAGTATAAACGTGCAAAAATCCAACCCCCGGTACCTGATTACATGATTTGACCACAAGGGGAATACACTTATTATGCATGATCTAGCAGTGGTTGCGAAGCTTACTCAACCTAAATATGATTTATATACTCTATATTATTCGAATTAAGTATTGTTTTTGTGACTACCAGTAAATCAGTAGTATGAGATCTATTCACCCAATTTCGTTTAAGGTGATGAAGGACTGGAAGAAGAAGAATTTTATCACAATAATGTAAGTTGAGCTGACGTTTCCATTGAATTTTACATAGACGAAATTAAGTAAATACATCTCATACTACTGATTTACTGGTAGTCACAAAAACAATACTTAAATCGAATAATATTGAGTATATTATTCATATTCAGGTTGAGTAAACTTCGCTACCACTGGTAGATCATGTATAATATGTGTACTCTCCTTGTGGTCCCCAGTGGTTAGATTTTTCCACGTGTCGTGACTACCAGTAAATAAGTCATATGAGATGTATTCACCCAATTTCGTGTG